CATTTATCGGACAATCAATAGCTTCGATAGCTAAGAGAATGTAAAGCGAATGGTATATGCCATATTTAGATAGCTGCCGTCTATTCTATTTATCCATTTCTGCTTGCCCATCTGAAAATTTGTTTCTCAATTTGAAAGCTAACCCCATTAAACTTTGTATAGTTGTCTCTTCCTGTATTGGACCGCTATATCATGTCATATCATATCATATAGATCAACTTCTTTGCTTTTCAAGATATCTTCATCAAAGTCGGCATTTGTTAGTTTAAGCTTACTCCTTGCTCTGGAAAGAATCAGTGGAAAGTGAGTTTTGGCTTGGAAAAGCTTTCCCCTGCGTGCCATCTCTGCTCTGTTTATAGTGTCATTCGCCCTTCAGCTTTGTATCATTAGAGGGTATCTACAATCGAGCGCGCTCCCTTCTGCTTCCTTATAAATTTGAACAGCTGCAGCACTTTAATGCCTCGTCAGCGCCGTGTCTGCTCTGGGGCTGCTGTTTATTTAAGTTTTGTCTTTTGGCTCTTTGGCCATTGGAGCTGTGCCCGCTGCGGCAGCTTTCAATTCCAGTTGCCGTCTCAAAATTTGCCATTATCACCTATCATTGGCGCTTTGGCGCCGGGATTTGTGTGTGCGCACCATAAAAAAAGGTGCCATGCAGATTGGCATCTTTGTAGCTGTGTTTCGACCAGGCCATACACCTTGGAGCGGGGCAATGGCACAGAATGCTGTGCCATATATTTTCTTGCCCCACATATACACATACGCAGGCCGAGACACTTTATTAACACACACGCACACACACACACACACACACACACGCACACACACACACGCATACATTGACAAAACAAGCTTAACTTTTGCCAATGTCCTTAACCATAAATTTGCTTTGGTAAATCCTCATTGTCGTTGTGTGATTTAAACTTTTGGAGCGCCATTGCCGGGCCACCTATACGTATTGCATGTGGGCCGTTGGCAGCAAAGCCCTGCCAAAGTGACAAGCCTCCGTTTCCACGTAACCCACAGAATCCGCCTTCAAACTGGATCCACGACAACCGGAGCAGTGGCTAAGAAAATTGAAATGAATCTGCCGGGCCCTAGTCCCAGCGGAGACGCCAAATTTATGATAACGTGCGAAAATGTGAAAAACATCGACTGCACTAGATACGAGGGGGCGGTGGCTAGGGCAGGAGGGATGTTAGGCTGACCAACGAGCGTGGATTAATTGACTTTGGCTGCACACGCGACTTGGCACAACTTCAATTCTTGTGACCGGAAAATGCAAAGTGCTCCGAGAGAGGACGACGAGAGAGCCAAGCTGCTAACAGCTGCGGGAGCAAGGCAGGGCGCCAGAGGGGGTACAGTTGAGCATTGCGACACAAAACGACCTCAACCTTACGGGGGCGACAAGTTCATTGGAATTGGCACAGTACTGAAGCCTCCAGTTTGGCATCCAGTTGAACAGATTGACAAACAAGCCGCAGCCAGCCAGGCAGGAACTACATTTGAGTGCAGCTTGTTTGGCCACTGTGTAAGTGGTTGTGTATGTATGGGTGAGGGCTTGGGTGTGGATGCGGATGTGGGTGTCGTTACGTCTACAGCTCCTTTTGTCCGGCGTCTATCACTGACTTTGCATGTGCTGCTGCAATTTGCAGCAAAGATTTGCTCTTGTTGCTCAAGTTGTTGTTCTGAACTGAACTTTTTAGCTGTTGTTGATTTTGATACGAAATCTCAGTCAAGACCCCTGCTCTCAGTATGCTAATGAAAAACTCAGTCAGTCAGTCAGTCAGTCAGTCAGCCAGACAGTCAGTCGCTCGGTTTCTTGCTCCAACAACTGCAGCAACAAAATCCATGCAAATAAATCCAGCTGCAACCACAGACGCCCAACAGACGCCAGCAGCAGCTTCCAACACTGGTTACGTTCTTTTTTTTTGCAGTTTTGTTTGAGGAACTGCTAAATAAATGAAAATATATATTTTAGAAATTAAGCGATGACTGGTTAGCCACTTCTTTTTTAAATTGGCCTTAGGCCGCCTCAACTCAGCAAAGCGACTTAAACTATAAAGCCAACTCGCATTCTGCTTGCAACTCTGGCAGATACTTAAAACTGCTAAAGCCAGGCTGTCTGAAGAAATGTCTATTGAATATTAAGGCAGTTCTTTCTAATTTGGTTTGAGCAGCTAGCAGCATTAAGACAAGTAAAACAACAAAAGAACTATCCAATTGGTTGGAGCCGATTTTCAGGTTTGCATTATTTATGCGCGGCAATTGATTTGTATTATTTTATTATTATTAGATTTAAGCTTCTATATAACAAGTAGATTTGAAACATTTTAATATATTTTATTTTACAACAAATTTTATTTTTTTATTTATTTTATTTTATATTTTATTATTGTTTAATTTATGTATGATTTATTTAATTTCTTATTTTTAATTTAATTTAATTCTTTTTAATTTGCATTTTATTGATTTAATTCCATTTATTTATTCCTTAACCTAGTCTACATCTTATAAATTATTTTTTTATTTTCGTCTTCTTTATTAACCTTACCCATAAAATATTTTAGATTTTCCTAATTATCTGCGTAATTCAGTTATATTTTGCGGAATGATATTGAAATAATTATATTTAGCAATATTTACTTAATTATTTTCTATTATACTTCTGCCTGTCACGGTATTTATTTATAAAAAAAATTATATTTTTGTATGAGCTATGGAATAAGTCGTAGAGCCTAAGGTATGCAAATGCCTTAATTTCATGCGATTCTATTTTGGGAGTGCATCTTTTCTTAAAGTACCAACTCTTTTCCTCTCTTAAGAGCTTAAATTGTTGTCTCTTAAAGTTTAACTTCCTCTTATGCCTATAAAAATGGTGTTAAATAAATATAAAGCAAACCTCTAAGTGTAAATGTGTTGTGTAACAATTATTTTTCACAAATCAAATATACGAATAATTTGCAAATAATAACAACTAACTTTGCTTCAATCGAAGAGTTTTCTTTTAAACAAATGTGAAGCAATAATTTTTGCTTAACGGCGAATGGAAAATACAAAGTTGTCCCTGTTATATTTGAAAGAGCCATCAATGGGAATGAACAGCTCATAACTGCTTCACAAATTATATCCATTTTCAATAATATAAGAAAAAGTTGTAGAAACGAAATCTGGAAAAAATATGAAATAAATCATGCCTTTGGCCAATTGCGTCGATTCAGCACATTCTTCCACTTACCGCCACACCCCTGCCACTGCCCCGGCCCCTGCCCCTCTCCCTGTCCCGCCCTCAGTGAGTGGCATACAATACAATCGGTGGCATTTGAGTGGTGGCGGTAGCGTTGGCGTTGGCGTTGACGTTGGCTGTGGGTGGCATGTTCGGTGGATGCGGATGGCCGACGCACTTGCCGGCTGCCGGCTGCCAGCGGCAGTGTCTATAAATATTTAAATTTCAAGTTTGGCAAAAGTTTTTCGCATGCATTACCAGGCCAAAGACGCGGAGAAGGGTGCAGGGGTAGGGTGGCGGAAGGGGGAGAGGGGCAGCAGGCACTTTGTTGCGGCAACGGCTGCGCTAGTCGCTGTCTGCCGCTTTGCAGCCCGCTTCTAGACCGCCCGACCGCCCGCCCGCCCAATCAACCGCTTTTTTCCAACCAACAACCTTTTTTTTTCTCGTTATTTTATGCCCTTTTAGAGGGTATTATAATTTTGTTATGCCATTTGTTATGCATAGAAGGAAATGTTTAGATGACATAGACTCTTGATCAGTTTCAAGAGTCGTGTCGGCCTCGCCATGTCCCTATATTTCAAAGCTATCCTCTATTATGTATTGGTATTGGTCGTCGATTGGGTTTTTGCAAGAAATACTCTCTTTGGCTCCAAACATATCCGTACAAATGAACGTAACCTTATCAAGTACTTAATTATATGGCTTCTGTTGGAACAATCGGTTGGCAAAGAATTTTCGTATACAACATCTCCATGTCACATGTCCCCACAAGGGTATTTATTGTTAGGTTTGCCGCTATTTTTTTTTTTTTTTTTTTTTTTTGTTTTTTGTTTGCAAAACTTGCAAGTGAACTGTTTGATTTGAATGATTCAATAAATAATTTATATTATATATTTGCGTATGTCACCAACCATTGGCCCAGGTTGCCCCCGCTGCGGCAAAGGCTGTGCAGGCGCTTAACTCATGAGTGTTGATCTTCAATTAGCCACACGCTGGCTCTTTAAGAGCCAACTCTGAACCCTGAATTGCCAGTTGGCTGCCTGTTGGCTGTTGATAGTTGGGCTCCTGGCTGCTGCCTGCTGGCTGGTGGCTGTCTGCGACTTGGCAAGTGGCGCGTCGGGCACATTTAAAAGCGATAAATCACCGAGTTTTTGGCAGGCACAACGGCTGCTGGCGGTGCTAGTCGTGCATTGCCTGCGATATCATTAACTCGCACAACTAACCGCCGCCCACACACCGCAGATGCATTCTAATCTCATATCTTATTGGTGCTCTAACTTCTTACTACTCTCTCTCTCTCTTTCTCCCTGTCTCGTCTCTGGCTGCACATTTACAGCGATTGGCGCCTTTCAACCGGAGTTTGTGGAAAGCATTTCGAATGTGTCCGTCGCTGTGGGTCGCGACGCAACCTTCACCTGTCACGTGCGCCACTTGGGTGGCTATCGCGTAAGTACTACATCCACACACATACACACACACTGGTACTTAGTAAACACAACACACCGCTTAATTAATGATACCAGCACAATAATGCAGCCACTAAGCATCCGAAATCTGTGCCACAACAATAATCAACCGCAATCCCATTACCCTCAGCCAAAGTATCTGGTAAATGTAATTTCTCTTGACTTCGTTTCCACAGGTGGGCTGGCTTAAAGCCGACACAAAAGCCATCCAGGCTATACACGAGAACGTGATTACGCACAATCCACGTGTCACGGTCAGCCATTTGGATCAGAACACCTGGAATTTGCATATCAAGGCCGTTTCCGAGGAGGATCGGGGCGGTTATATGTGCCAGCTGAATACGGATCCAATGAAAAGTCAAGTAAGTGCACAACCTTCTCTATTTCGGTTTAGTTTTTATCTTTGTTAAGTATGCTTTTTTACATTTACAACAACAATTAATGTTAGTCATGTAAATAGTCATCGATGAAGAAGTAGACCCTCATCAAGTAAATGAACTCAAACCTTGCTAAAGAAAACCCAGCATATATGTTAATTAAGAGACCACTCTGACAAGTGTCCAATTGTTAAGTTACCATGTAGTTTACAATTTACTAGCACTGTTTACTAGAGGTGCATAGTATTGGAGAGTTACATTATGCAATCCATTTTAGTTCATTGCAAAGTTGCCATGCTGCTTGGTAAATGTGTCATGCAATTTCTCAGCCGCGGTCTCCACTCATTTATAACTATATATTAATTATTATTAGTAATATTAATTGTTGATTACAGCCAGTGTCAACTTATCGACACAGTGTTGCCACACACACTTTCAAACAAACTCTAAGTTGCTTTGCCATGAAGTTGTCTTGGAAAGCAGAAGCTCCAATGGAGTTTTCACATATCTCCAACATATGCTTAATAAACACGCATGTATTTGTGAGTAAATAGGTTAAATGTGAGCATTATCGATAGTATTTGAGCTCTGCTTAACATAAGTAGCTGGGCAAAGGTCACATCCAATGAATAATGCCCGAGCTAAGAAGACAATGAAAATGTTTCTAAATATTTGCCATGTACGTTGCTGCTGCTTGCTGCCTGCTGCTGTTGAAAGCAATTTTCCAAAGTGTCCAGGAAAATTTCATGCAGCATTTGAAGGGGCAAACGTACAGGAGAATGCAACGCGTTCGGTGGCGCCCCACACTCCAGACACAATCCCCCCTCCCTCCTTGGGCTTACGATTTGCTTTAGCCTCTTGCCCCTCAATGTTGACCAAGTGAAAGAAAGCGCAGCAAATCGAAAGCGAAAACTATGGCAAACAAGGCGAAAGACGCACACACACACGCTGAAATGTCTGTACGTGTGTGTGTGTGTGAGTGTGCGTTGGTTGTTTGTGTGCGTGTGGACGCACGTACACTCATGTGTCCAGCCAAGTGAAGTTTATGGCGCCAATAAAATGTATTTCATGCTTCCTTAATTTTTATTTTTACTTTAACGCTTCTCACAAGGACAACAGCAGCAGTTGATGGCGCCCGAGTATGCGGCGTGGAGTGGCTGTGGAGGGAGGGGGGGCGGGGTTGGGGGTTGGTCAGGGCTGGTGTACTTACTGCAACAGCAAGTAGTACAGAGCACTGCACACGCAACCGTTGCCCAATTGTCTTCGTTTTTTTTTCTACGCTTTTGCCTTGTCTTGTTTTCTATTACCATTGCCATTGCGTTAAGAGTCCGGGCTCTGGTCCTGGTCCTGGTCCTGGTTCTGGTCCTGACTGTCACACAGTCCTAAACTATTTAGCGTCATTTCATTTGCTACGTTATGTATGTGTATGTATAATGCCCGTTCCCGATCTCAGGGGTCCCCCCATTCGGCACATAAAAACATTTGCTGCTTTATGACCGCCTGCATAATCAGCAAATTTTCGCTGAGTGTATAGTAAATTTAGGCAAACTGGCCGCCTCTGCTGTCCCTAACATTTAACTGATGATTGTTTTATTTGTTTACTTTTATTCCTGTTACTTTATTTTACTTGTCTGTCCTTCAATTTTACATTTTGATATCTATTTTTCAACGGGATTGACTTTTGTTCCCATTTCCGGCCCCAATTGACAACATTTTTCGTCATATTTTGCAATACCGTTTTTATTTATTTTTTTAATCCACATATGGGCTATTGAAAAATTCTGTTTAATTTTGAACATTACCATTTATATATTGCTTGCTTTTTTTCCTAGATTGGTTTCCTGGATGTTGTCATTCCACCGGACTTTATCAGCGAGGATACTTCGTCGGATGTTATTGTGCCCGAGGGCAGCTCAGTGCGCTTAACATGTCGGTGAGTGTAGTTTAAAAGCAATGTTAATCTTTACAATTATAGCCTACATAACCCACATAGTGCATGTTAAATTTAACAGGAAGCTGAATTACAGTCCGGCAACGCTGTTCAGCCTACATAAGCCTGAGCCAACATAATAAGTTTAATAATATGCTCAATTGATAAAGGCAGTGGTAATTACCAATTAGCCACATACAAACACTTAACTTAACACATATTAGTTGACATCAGGTTAAATTTATCTGTTGGTTGATAAGCTCAAAACGTTTTATTGCAGTTTGGCAACGCAGTTCAGCGTCATAAGCTTAATAATATGCCTAACTAAGTAGTTGACAGCTTGAGCTTGAGTGAAATGTTTCTTTGCCTCTAGATATCACTGATTAGCCAAAATTTCGAGTTAGTAAGAGCTCTAACATGTAGATCTACAAAAATACGGTCACACTTTTGTTAACTAGCATGCAAATGTTAGTTTCATCAGACACATGTATATTAATGCGTGTGTGTAGCTAATATCCCAATAAATGCGTCCTTTATTCCTTTACTCAACTAAAATCCCAGCCAAATGGCTATCATCACCAAAAACTAAGCACAACTCCACCCACATTGTCTGCGTCATCATCATCATCATCATTTAATAATGTCAGCAAATTAAGCGACACTTCATTTCTCTTGATTTGGGTCGGCGCTAACCATATGCCCTTGCAAAAAGTTGAGCATCTCGCTTACGATAAGCAACTTGATATGTGCGCATATTCGTGTGTGTGTGAAATATGTATACAGATAGCTTGACATTACTTTAGAAAAGAGTTAAAAGATATATATATTGACGATAATATTGGTATCGAGTGCCATCGAAGGTATGATATCTAACAGAAGAACACTTCCATATTCCGAGCTAATGCTTAAAAGTCAGTAAAGCAAGACCTTAGCGAACAGGTGCAACAATTTACAGGGTATCACAATGTGGAGCACACACCATCGCCTATCGGCTGGCCTTAGTTCGTGTTAGTTTCAGTGGTTTTTCCTTTTAGCTAACTGCGACAACGACTCGATGCGACGCGACGCATTTGGTCGCCGTTGATTTATGAACTTGACCACCGCCACGAAGTAATTTTAACGATTTAACCGCAGAATGATAGAACCAGGGCGATAAACGGGCTCCTCCTTGCTCGTATCGGTCTATGTTTATGTGGTGAGTGCGAGTGTGTGTGTGTGTGTGTATGTGGAAAGCTATTAGAGACATCGTCTGTAATTTTTTTCATTTTAATACCACTTAGGGCAAGTCCCATAAAGTGAATTTAACTTTAAGCAGCCAGCAAACAAAAACAAAATTAAAACGGCTGCTGTTTCGAAGTTCGCCAGATGAACAGATTGTTAATCTCTATTTTTTGTCCATGTTGTTGACACAAAACATTTATACACTGTTCCAAAATGTGAAAAGAGTATTTTCGTATCATTTTCTGTCCGCAACTAAGCACAATTCAACATGTAAATAGATTTCCTTTAAACACCTCTACCTGGAATGTTTTTATTTATCAATCGATAATAAATCGATAGTAAATCGATTATTTAAAACATTTCAGCTTATGCAGCTTGAAAAGCCTCTAAAGAAAATTTAAATTCAACTCAATATGCTAGAATTCATAAGAAATGTTAAGTCAAAAACAAAGGTTCGTAATACTCAGGCAATAGCCCTAACAATTATATAATTCAAATATGAATGTTGTGTGCGTGCCCCGATAAAGAGGCAATGTTTATTTAAATACAATGATCACCTACATGTTTAGAGAGCGAGTCTTGTTTCATTGTAGTACATGTATGTAGGTATGCAGTTGTTTTCATGAATAAACATGTTACAAGAAACACCTCACACACACACAAACGCACACACACACACACACACACACACACACATGCAGCACAAACAATCAACTGGCAGACGCTCAGTATTAGCCAAGTTAGCAGCTAAGCAACTGCTGCTGACTGGTACCCAGGCGGTCTCCATTGTGTTTGCTCTGGTCTTGCACTCGGGACGAACTCTCGAAATGTCTCAGCCTGTCTGTGTCCCTGTGTTTGTGTGCGGTTGTGTGTGTGTGTGCGTAAGATTTTCTTTTGCTTGGCTATTTTGCATCTGTTTGCGGCATCATAAAAATCTACCACACCCGTGTCTGGTGCGCTGTTAAACTGCTGCCTCAACATGCATATAGCCTCCCCTGAACCCCCTACCTCGGCGGAGCATACATCCAGCCCATTCACAATCTCAGCCACAGACGGCGACTGCTGGCCAAAAGCGATGCGTCGTCTACATTACAAGAAGTTGGCGCTTTGGGCCAACACAATGGCCACCAATGCCGCATATTAAGTTGAATAGACCAAAACTCAGCTTGCGCACAAATTTTCATTGCCTACTTTTGTGGGCAGCGAAAAGATGCGACGATTTAAAGTGCGCCACGTTTCGATGTTCTTATTTAAATGTTAAATAACCACAGTGTACCATATTCTCATTGAAAAATTAATGATTAAACAAGTTCAAATTAAAATTTAATATTGTTTATTTTATATATCAAGCCAGGCTTTTGATTTGCTCAATCATTCCACGCCTCTCTAACATCTTCAGGGCCAACAACTGGTCTTTCCTTCTAAAGCTTCTTAAGTTCCTTTTTCCATGTGATGTCATCTGCTCTGCAGAAGAGCTGTACTGGCTCTGTATAATTTTCTTGGAATCTGAGTTGCTTCACATGCTCGTTCTATGAGGATGTGTCGACCACCTTAAGTTGGATCTCCCTAATCCCCTTTTTTCAACCTCTCCATGCTATCAACTCACTTTGTTATTGGTAACATTTTTAACCTTTCTTCCTTCTTGAAGTGTTTTATGTTTTATACGAAGTTCTGAAGATACTCTATTTTTAGCTTCTGATTGACATGTTCTTGTACTTTCTAATAAGTAGTACATATAGTACCCTATATCTCTACCCTTTACTTATATATCCACTACAAACAATTTCTAAAATGCATTCTTAAATAGAAGTTCTTCAGAGTATGAATATTAATGGACCCATCCCTCTAAAATATGCAGGACTTAAGTGTGGCGTTTAAATGTGCTTATATACCAATTACTGTCGTCTGGCCTTGAAACTTTCCATTGCCTACAGTCAAACAGTCTCAACGGGCCCTAATTCGTCCAATGTTCCCTGACTTTTTGCCTAACCCAACTTAACATTGTATTCACATATGGCATATACTTACTTTGCAGCGCGCGTGGCTATCCGGAACCCATTGTGAACTGGCGCCGCGAGGATGGCAGCGAAATAGTGCTCAAGGATAACGCCGGCACCAAGACACTGGGTATGCATTCGACTACCACTAAATAATTAAAAAATTAAGCGGTTAGATTTAACTAAGTTATCTGTACAATTCTCTCTCTCACTCTCTTTCTCGGCCCGATGACAGTCTCCTCGTTCCGCGGCGAGGTGCTCAAGCTGACAAAAATCTCACGCAACGAGATGGGATCGTATCTGTGCATCGCCTCCAATGGTGTGCCCCCATCGGTTTCAAAGCGCATCTCGCTTAGCATACACTGTAAGTAAATCAAGTCCGCAATCCACTTGCTGCTGGCTGCTGGCTGCTGGTCACGTGGTGCCAGAGGGCTGAGCTGAGTTGGCATTAATTAGAGAGTTGTGGTTGGTCAACTTTGTGCATTCCCCCTTTTTTTTTTTAATTTTTATTTATTTTTTTTTTTTTTTGTACACGTACATATCATTAGTCAGCTGTCGCCAGAGCGCAGACTGCGTCCGTCCGGATCTCATCCTTTGAGCTCACAGCTTTCAGTTTTTGGCGCCGGCCAGCGTCGTGGTGTTTATCTAGTTTAGTGTACTGACACCCAGCGTGCAGCCAGCTTTAGCCACAGTTATCAACTACACACACACACACACAGCGCCCTCAGCTATGCTGCGGACAAAAAAAAAGGAAAAAAAAAGCAGCAAACTCAAAGCTGGGCATAGAAAGGAGAAAATCAGAACAGTGGCGGAGCTGGCTAGGTGGCGAGGGGCGGACAGTGGCGAGATGGGGTTGGGTTTTGGGGCAAGGTAGTGAACAGCTTGTGGCTCGGTGCGGCGCTAACTCGATTGTCGTTGTTGTAATCCGTTTAAATCCAGTCACTGATACCGGGCATTACCTGATGCCTTGTGCATTGTGTTGCTGTTGCTTTTTTGGGGAGGGGGGGGCCACAGTTTTTTGTCAACCTGTCTGCAGCACGTGCGGCATGCTGTCCTAGTTGATGACTACGCTTGGTGGCGTAGTTGCACCGCCTGCCGCCTGCCGCTCCATGTGGCAGTTCACTCAATCATCACGACATCAGCAGCAGCTCCACACTGCGCTTGTTTGCCAACGTGTGCAGCAACGCCGCAATTCCTATTCCTGGCCAGGCACAGGGCCTGGTGCCTGGTGCCTTGTGCCTTGTGTGTCCTGGCTGTGTTTATTTTGCTTGCTCTTTTGTCCGTTGCGGCAGAGAGGACTACTACTAGACTTGTCGCCACCACTCGTTCGGGTGGCAAAATCACGCTTTTTAACATTTTGACATTTTGTTAATGTGGCCTTTAAGTGTGTGTAGAGCTCAGGACTGCGTCAAGGAGTCCGCGCGTCCTTCTTCTATGTTGATTAAAGCTATTAAAGCTTTTAGAGCTGTTCTGCGCTTCTATGCTATCTGCTTGCCGCCAGTGCCATTGGCATACGCTACCTTTTCAAAGTTTTTGATCAACTTGGGCAGAGCGCCTGCCGCCACAGAAGAGCTACACGAAAGCCCATGCCCATGCCTTGGGCATGGCGACCCTACTTTCCCCTGGTGCAAATCCAGTTTCGTCATATTCGAGTGTGCGCGTTTCCTGTTGCTATTTCTGCAGGAACTTACTCACAATTTGTTTTGGCAAATGTTGCGACTGCCTGCCAGCCTGCCCCATCTGGCTGGCTGAGTAAGTGAAAACAAAGTTTTCCTTCAACTGGCAAGCTATTTGCATGGCCTTTTTTCCCATGGCATCTTCAGCGAACTGCTTGCACTGCAGCTGCCTGATAAAGCCACGGCTGCATTTGCAGCTTGCCGCATGTGGCACCAACAGCTCCGACACCGACTCTGCCACCGACACTGACAGCGACAGGAACAGCAACAGCGACAGCGACATCGACACCGACATCGCATATCCCCTTGCGTGTTTCCGTGCCATTTGCTGAAGTTTCCTGCCTTGTTAGGCACCTTCCTGCACGACTAATTAAGGACGTGGAATTGGTGTGCGTTGCGCATTTGCAGGAAAACAGCACCGGGAAGCGCAACAAACAATTATCCCACAATTAGCAGGCAGACCCCCCTATCTCATATGCCACAGTCCGCACAGATACTGAATTTATTGTTTGCCGTATGATTGCTCAATCAATTTTTCTGGGATGTGCCAGCCCACTTAATAGACGATACTCTTTACCAGATGACATTGTTATTATTTTCTATTTATCCAACAATATTATAAGCCAGCAATAAATGAGTTCCAGTCTAACCAACATAGACCTAAGCAGTTACCTGTCGGAAGTGTCCGACTGCCAAATACCTTGAGCTCTGCGCCAAGCAACCTTAACAAACATTCCAGCTTCCTTCTATACAACTAAATACAACACACAATAGAAACACACATTGATTCAGCTCTTACATACATACAAATATTATGTCCCTGTTGTCCACTATCAATAGCTCGAGTATAAGAAAATCATTGTTGACGCTTCGGTACACGAACCTAGTCATTCTCATCGATAAACCCATAATTTATAACCCACCCTTTAATATTGAAATTATGATTTGGCTCAGGGTAAAGTTGACTGTTTTTTTGGGGAACAGCTTTTCGAGAAATTCAATCCAAAATCTTGATTCAAATACTTGTAGTCTTATTTTGCCCGCACCAAACCTTTTGAATAAAATTTTAAACTTCAGGTTTCAACCCCTTTTCCTAGAGATTTCGCCCTATCGAATTAAGAATCTAAAGTTGGAATCAACTTCGTTTTCCGCGATTATTCCACACTTGCGGGTGGAATTTTTCAGAACCCCGTCCTAGCTTGCATCTCCATCACATAAGGTAACTTTTTCAGTAAAAAATCCCAACTGCCTAGCCTCTATGCTATACTATGCGTTGATCAGTAGTCAGTTTTATGTATAGAGATAAATATATGTTTTTAATTCACGCATTTGAATGTAAATTTGAAGGCCTGCAAAGTTTGTTGTTGAGGAAAGAAAACGCAAATCTAGTTTTTCTATTAAAAATTAGTCGAAGAAGTTGACTTGTAAGCCTCCCAAATCCATGGTAAGTGCTTTCCCTAAAATTTGAATAGGTTTGAATGCTAAATAGCATTTAAATATTGATTTGTCCGCTCGATTTACTTGGCATGCATTGAATTTATTCTTGTGAAACCAATTGTTTTGCACAAATTTGGCAATATATTTTTGCTTTAAAAACGATTGAAAGGATACGCTTTAAATCCATCAATCAACATTGTAGGAGTTTCACTTTGGACTTTGTCTCGTCTCACATCATTAAAATTTGCATTGTTTAGAAACATGTTCCGAAATCTACTGCTCAAAATAAAAATAAAAACGTATTGAAATTTTTTGTGGATTTTCGTTGAAAATCATAAGCAAATAATTGAGGCAAATCGCAAAAAATCACGTACGTCTAAGAGCGAACCAGACATATTTCCAGGTTAGGTGATAGTTGGAACGCACACGGACAGCGCCATAAATTTGCAATTGTTCCATATGTGTGCGTGTCTGTGTGTGTGCAGGTAGGGACCAGGGGGCAGCGAAGGCGTGAGGAGGGGCCGTCGAAACGAATGAATGTACAGGCTGGTCTCTATTTGCGCTGCCAATGAGCTGAAAAATACACGTCATTGGCTTTTGTGTCCGACTCTTTTACCTTTAACTCAAAGTTTCACACAATAGCCCAAAATCTGATGAGGTGTGCATGTGTATCTGTGTGTGTGTGCGTGTGTGTGTGTGTGTGTCTGGGTGTATGTGTGCGCTGTAATTGTAGTTGCAGCTGCTGCTGCTGCTGCTGCGACGACGTCATTAGTGCATATTTGTGGCTTTGTTTGCCGCAACTGAGCCAGCAGGCAGGAGAACTGGAGGCACTGGCAACTGAGGCTTGAGGATTGAGGACTGCGGGCGTGGCTGTAGCCAAGGCACATGCTCGGAATAATCATGGCAAAATTGTAAATCGCAAGCGAAAGTGTTTGCCAGCCGCTTCTGCCGGGACACCGCCTGGCCTCCCTGCCCCAATGCAATCTCCCAAAGTTGCAGTATGTGTATTTGTGTGTGTGTGTATGTGTGTGTGTGTGTGTGTGTGAGTGTGAGTGTGTTGCCTGTATGCAGATTGAAAATAGACGCAGTCAACCAGCACTCATGCATTGGTCAAGCTGGCAGCCGCTCGTTGACTGCCTCTGAGTGCCAGTGACAGGAAGATTTTTATGCTTGAACGTTAGCTCAGCTCCTGTCCCAACACGCCACCTCCGCCTCCAGATCCAGCACCAGCTCCATCTCCAGCTGCAGCTTCTGCTGCAATGTGCGTGACTTAAATGTCAATTTTGTGTACTAAACAGCACTGGCTGCAGTTTCCACCAAACTGGTGGATTGGAATCGTGAAAATGAGCAGCGAGGCAAAGCTTTAAAGCACCTGAAAGCTTTCAATCGGTTTCAATTTATAGCTATCTGTCCATATTTAAAACTGAATGGAATAAATGGACACACTGACTGATTGATGATCTTAAGAGATTGAAAGCTGCATTTCTAATTTGATTAAACTGCTAAAACGCAATTGTGGGAAAATTGGTGGAAAACGGTTATTTAAATTTGAAAACAGCAAATTCTGCAGCAAAGTATGGGCGAAAGTTCAAGTTCCGTTCGATCAGCTACAAAGGGTTTGTTAAAGTTCTACATTACAAAATAATTAATACGTGAGTCATGAGTGAAAAATGGGCGAATTGATTGAAATGGATTTTTAGGTAGTTCAGAAAAAACCAGGTAATAGCCTCTGGTTAGTAATATTCATACTTATGATCACATATAATTTGTGTATTTTTATACACGTACATACTAGAGAGGTATATTTACCTTCGGATTGTTTTAATAGCACACACACACAGGCACACACACTGGCTGACACACACACTTGAACTTAGCTTTATATGTGGTTACAGTGAGTGAGCAAATAGACAGTTGATAGATAAGACATATGCACTCGGGCACGGAAATCAATTAAAATCCCTCGAACTTACAAAGCTGTGCAATGCTGTAGATCCACACACACACACACACTCCCTCGCACACACACGCATACACACTGGCTATTGTTGCAAGCTGCTGTTGCACTGTAATTGACTATCAATGCACATGACTACAGAAATGCTTGCCTTCACACACTTACAAATACATACGCACACACACACACACACACACACACACACACACACACACACACACACGCACGCACACACTTATGTGTGTGTACAGAATATCTGCCGGCTGGTTGTGGGGCTTGCCACGATGCAAGCAATGGCCTGTGGCTGCTTTGGCAGTTTTACAAAACCACCAATTTTGGTTATAGCTCGGTGAGCGTCTGCTCGACATGTGCGTGTGCGTAGGGTGTTTGGGGGTGTGTGCATGTGCCTGGTATACGGTGGCCCAACTCTCTACCTCTTTGACTAAGTGACAATAAACACGCACACGAATTGCAAAAGAGTTGCCATTTAACTCCACAGAGAGACGTGCACTGCATCTGCATTGCATTTTGATGACCGCACCGAGTTATCCTACTCCCAATTGGCTTTCTACTGCCATACAGACATACACACAAACACACACACACACACACACACACACACACACACAAATGCATTTGTATTTATGCATGCATGTATGTAGGTGCTTTATTATGCAACTGCTATTATTTAAAGTGGAGCGGCACTCGCTATCGTTGTCATTTTTTATCACAAGAGGTAAAGAGCGTACAAAATATGTGTACAAAATTGAGTTTTCTATGCTATTGTATTGCTAACGACCAAGCCAAGCAAGACGTGTACCACGACAGTCAATGGCGAGTTATTTAACTCATTAGCGAGCTAAAGCAGCAATAACGATCAACGTGTTGTAGCGAGTAATTTGATAGCAAGTTAAAGTTTAGGAACGTTTGACGTGTTGCAAAAGGTAATTCAAAGCTTAAGCAGCCAAAACAATTAACGTGTTGTAGCGAGGAGTTTAACTCTTTGCCTAATGGATAAAATATAAGCGGCGAATCATACAAATAACTAGGTGAATTATGCCAATGCATTACAGCAGAAAATTATGGTTATACCAAATGCCGTAAAATATTGGCAACCGCCAAAGATATCGCATTGCTTTTAACGAATATACTATATAAGTTAAGTTTCAAATTCATCAGACTATAAAAGAAGAGTAATATCTCACACCTGAAAGCTATGCTAACAAGAAAGTGTTTTATGTGAATCGTGGGAACTAGCTTATTCGTTACTAGTGCAACATGTTTAAAGGTAGTACTGTATGAGACTCAGGATTAATTTTGCCCTTATTCAGAATCGTTAGCATTGCCATATTGTAAGGCCAGTTACATAATATATCTATACATGGCTGCATATTCTAGCCGTAAAATTCATATCAGCTTTGTGTACGAGACAGGGGAACGGATGCATTTAAAAAATGGTTTTATAATGTGCTGCACTGCTGCAATAACAAACGAGTACATAACGACTTTCTCCCTCTCTCTCTCTCTCTCTCTCTTTCTCACTCTTTCTCACTCATTCTCACTCTCTCTGTTTTCCCCCTTTTGCAGTTCATCCAGTCATACAAGTGCCGAATCAATTAGTCGGAGCACCGCTTGGCACTGATGTTCAAATCGAGTGTCACGTTGAGGCCTCGCCCAAATCAATTAACTACTGGATTAAGGATACCGGTTAGTATATATGTGTGTGTTATGTGTATGTGTATGTGTGTGTCTGACTGATGGTGTGCGTGCCGGTGTATTTGTGTCTCGCTTCATGTGCCGCTGATGGCCATCTTTTACATTTTATAGACATTCGATGGCATATGCACTTTATATACATATGTTAGTAAGTATATAGAATAGACATGCATGCTCGTTATCCTTGTACGGATTGTCATTAGTTCACTGTCAGATTGTCACGTCTAGTGAGCCCATTTGAGCTCTAAGCCATAAACTAATCGTGCCAAAAATTCAATTTACATTGACCCCAAAGCAGCTATATGCCAAAAGTCACTCAAAGTGACCAATCGCAACTGGGCGGTTTTATATAAGTTAAAGTCTCAAAATAGCTGATGCAATGATGCTAGAGCTGTTGATCTGCTCCAAAATCGAAGCCTGACTCACAGATTGCAAAGCTTAATATCTCCTAAAGTCTATCAGGAAGACCCCTTTCGACCGATACGCTGTAATTAAAGCAGCGAATTAAGCAGTCGGTTTCTCCCGCCTGCAACTTTCCTACTTGCTTAGCTGAAAGGGGTGAAAAGGCTAGTTTGACCCCAGTCGGACTTCTTGGCTACCAAAATGAACTCGCCACAAAAGTAATTGTTAAATTGGTGTTAGACTAGAAGTGAAGTTGGGAATTAGTGCGCATTTTGTAGAGCTGACTTTAGCAGCAAGTATTTCAAGTGCTGAGGATGCCAGCCTATAGTTCCTAAAGGAGCCAAATAGTGGTCCCATTGAACGTTATAAATGTATCACAAGTCCGAACAGAGAAACATATTGAAATAAACAAAGACAATATCGAGTGTGTAGTGCGTGTGTAGTGTGTGTGTAGTGTGCGTGTGTGTGTATGTGCTGTGAATGCTCCAAGTGGCTTTTACAATTGTTTTCTCAATCATTAAGCATCAAATGTAATGCCCGGCCATAAGTAGCGACAGGCCCCATCAATGTCCAACGAATACAACGTACTTTCGGCCCATTGTGCATTGTGAAAGTCCCAAACTCAAGGCAGGCGCATATGCGGCTCCTCTTTGTATTCATCTGTGCGTGTCGGTGTGTGTGTGTGTGTGTGTGTCGGTGTGTGTGTCTTGGTGTTAATGCTGCGGTTGTCTTGGCTACAGTCCGCTTTGGCAGGGGTTTATAGTCCGCATTATGCACATTGACGTTTATTCTGTACATTGGCATTATGGCCTGTGCCTCGTACAATTTATCATATACAATCCATTGATTTTTGTTAGGGGCTTTAATATCAGTAATGAATTAATTTATAATTCTCTTTGCCATTTACTCGAGCGTTGTACAATTGCATTCGCGATTCAAGCTAACTTAATAAATAACCCTTGTTCGCAAAAAAACAAAAATACCTAAATGATTCATCATTTAAGGTTGTCTTTATATTGATTTTTAAATAAATATAAAAAATTATTTCGATTTAAAGCTACAATTGAAATTGAATTTTCCCATTGTAAACAATTCTGTTTGTGCTTCGCATCGTTGCCAATCTTAAGAAGGGGTTTCTCAAAAAAAAAAAAAACACTCTTTTATGTGCAAATCAATGAAAATCGCAAAGAAGGGCGAAAGCGAGAATGAGAGAGAAAAAGAGAGAGAGAGTGAGATGGAAATACAAAGATTAATAGTAATTATAACGATAAAAACAATTATAATAATAACTCAAATAACTAAAATCTTTCGCTTTATACACATTGTGCTTGTAAATATTTCCCGGGAGTTTATAACTTTTGATACGCCTGTTTATCAACAGGTGAAATGATTGTCTCGTCGGCCAAGTACCATGTGCAGGAGGGTTCGCAGTCGATGTACGAGACGAAAATGTCGATGATTGTGCGAAAATTTCAGAAGGAAGATGTCGGCTCTTACCGTTGTATAGCGAAAAACTCGCTGGGTGAAGTTGACAGCAGCATCCGGTTGTACGGTGAGTTTGGGGCATTCGCATGTCGGCGGGTTACGTAGTTTATGGATAATAAACGTGGCACATATTTTGGCGGGCGGGTGACGTGCAGGTATTTACACCTTTGTTTCAATTACTGCTACTGCTACCGTTACCGTTACCGTTAACGTTAAAGTTACCGTTACATTTCCGCCGACAGAAATCCCGGGACCGAATCGTAAAAATCCCTCAAATAGTAAAGGAAGCGGAGGCGCTGGCAACGCTGGCGGCACCACCGACACGGATGCCAATGACATTTTAAAACTGAAACAACAAGTCAAAGTCACCTACCAACCGGACGACGACGAGCTCTACGGCTCCGCGGAGGATTTCGAGGATGGCGAATTCGCCGGCTCTCCGCCGTTATCGCCGCACCATTACTACACCAGCGGCAATAAGCCACCGACACATAAGCCCGGCGGTGGTGGTGGCGGCCATCAGCACCAGCATCAGCACCACCATCACACACAGCAGACGCAATCCGGCGGCGCTGCCGGTGGAGGCGCCACCAGCATCGAGCTGGCATTCGGCAATGGCCATGTCAGCGGGTCTGGCAACACCCGTAAGCCGACCTATTATGGCGGCAGCGGCGTCGCCGGGGGCGTTGGCGGCGCCAACGGCAACACGGAAGTGCGCGGCCCCATGGACAACAACGAACGTAGCTCCGGCGGTGCGCCACTTCGCGCCTGGCCGGGCCACTATCAGCCGCACTATCGCCGCCAATGTGTGCTGTGGCATTCGCTCTGGCTGTCCCACTGTCGACAGCCGCTCTTAATGGGTTTGTCCGGCTTAGTTGCGGCTCTCAGGCTGTTATAATACATGCTGGCAGCAGTACACTAGGCTAGCACACACACACACATACGCAAACACACACAAATACCCTCACACACTTGTAGATTTTTTGTTTCAACAGATAAAAAAAAGCATGCCATATGGCTACCTTCTTCGCATTGCTCACATTTGGATAGGATAAAGGGGCTTGCGTTGTGTAACTGCATATCTGTACACAAATACACACACACACACACACACACACACACATTTTTGGTTAGAGTTTGAATCAAGTTTTAATCTTATATTTATTCAAATTTTATTTAATTGTATTTTAAACAGTGCTTTTTTGAGCTTGTTTTCATTTTGATGCATTTGTTAAAAGCTGTTTTTTTTTTTTTTATGTAAATCAGCTGCATATTGAGATTTGAGCATTAATCGGGATTGCTTAATGCAGCCGAACTAGAACGTTTTTAGTTTCTGCTTGACACTGGGTAAGCATTGACCTCTTTTCGACGCTACACAACACTAAATTCAACCAGGCGACCAACATTTTGCGTAAGTGTGATTTTCAGCTGGTGTCTTTGGGACTTACTACATCGACCTCACACGGCAGTGGTAAGGTAGGCCATTTGTAATTTAATAATACACAAACTAAATTTACAGGTGAATAGGTGGAAAATAGCCAAAGGAAAAACAAAATATCATTCGAAAATGAAATGAAAATTCTGTTAAATTTAATACGTTTGTGTGCAACTCTGTTCAGACACAGAGTTTATTATTTATTTAGTTATTTGATAATCCAAATACACAAGTTTATAATGCCATATAAACTAAATAAAGTGCGCTATCTGTATACTTGCATATATATAAATTTATGAATATATTATGTAGTTAAATAAGGATTAGTGAAATACTTAATATGAATGTTTTTGTCTAAACAGAAAAAGGCCTCATATAGCTGCAGATAAATAGTTACAAGCCGTATTCATGCTCTTGTTAATATTAGTTTAGAGTGTTTATTATATATAATCCAATAAGATTTCAAACAGCATGCGAGTTATGACAAACAAATCGTACGAGCCAACTTATGTTTAAAGTGTTCTTATTATTATTATTATTTATTTTCTTTTTTTTTGAAATATTAATTGCAAGATAATTAGAGAAAGAAAGAGGGAAAATTGGAAGTTGTCAAAAACTGTTGACACATAATTCTGAAAGATTTATCTTGATGGACCTTTGCGTATATAAGTACATATGGAATATTTTAAGTAATTCTGGATACATTTGATTATGGCTTGAATCTCTGATTAATGTGGCGGAGCAGCTCATATAGCACACCTTTCCTTTGATTCGAACTTAAGATAACCCCAGGCATTAAAAAATCCATTAAATTTACCCTTTTCTTTTGCATTTGGCGCAGAAAAAATAAGAACAGCACAAAGTTAATTTCCTAATTCGATTTATATTTAAGCCCCAAGGACATGGCTGAAAAAAATGTCAATTAATACAAAAATGTCAAACTTTTGATTTGTTTTTGTTTTTTTTTTTTGTTTTTGTCATCAATTTTTTTTTTTTTTTTGTCTACTTTTGATTGACATCGAATCGTGAAGTGGACTTAAAGTTTTATGATGAATGTCCTTAATCATTTCTTTGCTGTTTGGCATACATTTCCCAGAACGAAATCGAACTTTTAGCTGATTTTGGCTGCACTTCGTTGGGTGCGGTCGGTACGGTGTGTGCGGGGAGAGACGCGCATTAATTTATGCAAATTAAATGTCATATTTCTGCAGCGCAGATACACGCACACATTCGCATACCATTTAGTTCACTACAACCCTGTCTTTGTGCACACTCTACCTTACTCTCTCTCTCTGTCTCTCTCTCTCTCTCTCTCCTCTCTCTCCTCTCTCTCACGCACGCTAAGCCGTTGCAGATCTGCCGGCTGCGGCTCATTTTTCAGCGAAGCGGACAGCCCAAGCAACTAGTGTGTTTGTGTGTGCGTGTTCGTGTGTATGTGTGTGTGTGTGTGTGTGTGTGTGTGTGTGTGTGTACGCAGCTGAAGCTTTCATTATGCCTGTGAGCATGCAGCAGACGCCGAGCGCAAGAACAAGAACAAGCACAAGCCAAAAGCACGCTTCAACAACTTGAGCCATTTACTCGCCCGTTCACCCGTTCACCCGTTCGCCCGTTCGCCCATTCACCCGCCCGCTGGGCCGCTGTTGGCGCATGCATATGCAAAAGGTTAAAAACTTTACCAAAAACGCAGTTGTTAGCGAACTGCTCGGCCGGGCTCTGTCTGGGGCAACATCTTTTTGGCAGTTTTTGTTGCGGCTACAACTTGCAGCATGATAAAGCCAAAGGCAACATAAGCATTGGCGACTGCTGCTTGCTTTCATTGAGCTGTCAGTCCGTTAGTTTTGCCTTGTGCGCGTGTGTGTGTACGTGTATGTATGCGTGTGTGTGTGTGTGTGGTGACTGAATTTGGTTTGATGAATTGCTTCCCTGCCAGCAAACGACACACACATACACACGCAGACACTTTTTAATGAAATAAAAACTTTTTGGCAAAGTGAATTTTACTGTTTCGTCGAGAAGACGCTCGATGACAACGCACAACTTGCAACTAACCCAGCACGCTGTGCCACAGTGTGTGTGTGTGTGTGTGTGCGTATGTTATGTCAGTCGGCAGGCGGCGCTAGTACCTACAACAACAACAACAACAACAAATACGACAACAACAGCCGCCCATACTCTCAATTGTTTTTATGTGCGTGCGAGTGTGTGTGTGTGCACATACACAAAACCGCCGAAAGCTGCCACTGATGATGATAATAAGACGCTGACAACCGCAGCAACAACAACAGCAAAACATGGGAGTTTTGTGGCAGCTTTTTGTGGCATGAAGCATCGGTTGGGTGATTGTGAAAGGGGGAGGGGTTGCAGGGTGCAGGGTGAGGCGCACATTGACACAAGTGTTTCAAATTACAAGCCGCTTTGGCAACACCAATGCGTCGTCCATCAACAACTACTAGAACGTGTGACAACCGCTCCGCCCCTTAGAAGTATGCAACACTTTTTGGTGTTGCTGCCACCGCTGCCACCGCTGTTGTCTGCCTGCCACTTTGCTGCTTGTAAACGCGCGCGTCTTTTGTTATCTTTGTTGTCTGTGTGTTTGGGGCACAAAGCACAAATATATGCCACACATATTTGTGTGTATTGCACTTGTACTTGTACTTGTACTTGTACTTGATGATTGTGCCTAGGCTGTTGCTTAAGTTGTTCCGGTTTGTAATGAAGTTTGCATGTGCTGATCACTTGCTGTCATGTGTTGTCTCATTGTGTGCGTGTGTGTGTGTGTGTGTGCCTGTATGTGTGTGTAAGCTGTAAGAAAAGGCCGCTTAATTGCTCTATTTGGTACTTTTAAATTGTATTTTAATTTCGAATTTCCTCAAGACAGAGAGGGAGAGAGAGTGAACGGAAGAGCAGCAATTTATGCCTTGTTTTTGGGTTTTTTTCTTGGCTCTTCTTCTTCTTTTGTTTGGCTGTGGTACATATGCATATATATATGTATATATATGTATGTATTTTTTTTTGTTTGTTAAATTACTGCGGTTTATTGTTTTATGCGCTCACAAACTTGTATCTATTTAAATTTTGTGTGTGGCAACATGTTTATTTTATAACCTTGAGGCAACAGCAACATCCAACGGCAGCAGCAGCAGCCAGCTAGCTGAATGACAGGCAAATAGGCAACGGGCAGGGGCACGCACAGAGGCAGGGGCAAGCAGCAAGCGTAGCGGCTGGGCGGACTCGGTATGGGGTGGGGTGGACAACAAGCAGCAAGCTTCATGTTTGGCGGAAGTTTAATTGAATGCGTCGCTTGCTGACGCACTGCTCCAAATTGTGTTTATGTTGTGTGTGTGTCTCTCTCGCTCTCTCTCTGTGTGTGTGTGTGTGTGTGTGTGTGTGTGTGTGTGTGTGTGTGTGTGTGTGTGTGTGTGTGTGTGTGTATGTTGTGGCTGTGTTTGTCCGCTTGTGATGTGCAGCCAGTTAGCCGCATAACATTTGCCGCACAGTTCGCTAAAAAACAAATGGCAATCAAGTGAAATTGTAATACAGACACACACACACTCAACCCAGCGGCTGGCATTTACAATTTTTGTTTGTAAAATTTACTCAAGTTTTTTGATTTAATAATAAAAAATACTTATACACGCACACGCACACGCACACACAGAAACAAGCACATGTGTCGCCTTGAAAGTTGGCTCGTTGTGTGGATTGTTGCACGGTGGCTGGCTGCCACATGCAGCTGTAATCTTATCGTCAGCTTCTTTCTGTGCTGCCACAAGATGAATATAAAAATTAAATAAAGACATACAAGATTACAAAATGCTCAACAAACTCAAATTCAATTACGGCCGCTTCAGGTTGCCAGCTGCCTTGTGGCAAGTTGCTGTTGCTGTTGTTGCTGCACTGTTGCACCTGCACAGACCAGGTTCGCTTAATAGTGTCTCACTTGACTCATAAGAGACTGCATAAAATGCATGCATTCACATCTTATATATATATATATGTTACATATATATTTTTTAGCTAAACATACTTTTGACGACGGGCTGTGTCAGAACTATGCTTCAATTGATTTTAATTGAATTTTAATTTAATTTGTATTCGAATTTGGATGAAATAAGTCGCATTTGTCTCGCTCTAATTGCCTGGCATGCGTATACATTTCTTTGCCACATGCCACATGCCATTTTCCACTTGCCGCTTGCCACTTGCCACTTCAGTGTTGCCACTCATAGTATATATCTTCGTTTATTTAGTTCTTTACATCTTGGTGCATTTTAATTAAGAACTGCATTGTTTTTGGCTATAACAATAAACAGAAAACAGACAACTTGTAGGAGACAAATGCAAACAGTAATCGGATATATATATATATATATATAGCTAAATATCAAATATGAAATCATAGCATATATATGTGTGAAGCACTTGGGGTTGGAACATGTTGGGCATGCTTTAAATATTATACGAATGTATTGATGGAATAAATGTTACACCAAAAGCGACAGAAATTTGTATAAAAATTGAAATAAATTTACAAATTAAACAAAGTATTTAACAAGGTTGTTCAAATGTTAAACGGTTTGTGCACTAAATCGTATAATGCTTCAAATTTTTTTGTTAGTCATAGTCAGGATTAAAAATATACATATATACATAATAATATTTATAGTACATAGTATATATATATATATATATATATATA